TGCTGTTTATCACCATCTTCTCTGTCTCCTGCTCAGACTTGGATGTAGCAGTACTTCTGCCAGTCCCATCCTTCAGAATTGACTGAAGGAGAGCACTTATGTTGGTGGGTGCCATATCATTAAGAGGTGAAGCCCTGTCATGTTGGGAGGGACTGCATGGCATCTGGCATCAGCCTCACTGTGTTGGACTGGGCTCCAGTTGTGTGACCTTGACAAGGTCCTTTCTCCTTTTTGTAACTCAGTTTCCACATTTACACCATGAAACTGATATCATTTACCTTGCTGAGCTTTTGTGAAGATAACATATTAAATGCTTAGCAAGCATGTGGAAATGTCACCTATAATTATTATTTTAAGAATAGCATTTTCCAAAATGGACGCCAAGTCATTTTATTTAATTTCCTAATAAAGGACACTAGTAGAGATGTTGTGATTTGCAACCCCAATGTGTGGTTAAGGAGTTTTAATCCTTCTGTAATCCCTAACCCACCCTCTCCCAGCAGCGCCAACATGAATAAATATCTAAGAAAAATCTGCATATCTGCACACCTGCTAAACATAGGAGGCTTCACCAGAAGTCCTCTCTCTCCTTCAATCATAGTGCCATCCAAAGCCTCACTTTTGAAAATCTATCATTTCTACAGCTTCTAACCATGCTGACGCGGCAAATTCATAGCAATCCCTTGCCCGTTACAGTGCAGTGTTACAGTGTTCAGTAACCCCAGACTGTAAGTCCTCCCTACTCCTAAATAGGATTTATAGAGTGTGACTTTGAGCCATATAGCAAAGTCAATTTTATCTGAAGGAAAATATTTTTTTTTACTAACATTTTAAAATCCCTTCCTCTGTAGCTCAAAATGATTTAAAAGCTAATCAATGATAAAATTCCAACTCCATGTAGAGACAAAAGAATTGAGGAAGGAAGCAGAACCAGTTTAATCAGGAAAGTGGCTGCTGTGACTCATTAGCCCCTAGAGATTATTGACACTCCTTTTTTTTTTTTTTTTTTTTTAAGATGCTGTAGTTAGCTCATCTGTCTCTGGCAGCCCACACATACAAAATCGCTTTTACTCTTCACAAATTAATGCATTTAGGCCTGTGCATTTGTCAGGCATTCCTGGAACCCTCTGCCACCCTCATGTTGATTAAAGGATGTGTATTTTGAAAAATGGGTGGAGAGGAAGAAATTTATAATTCTTAAAAGGAAAGAATAAGTTGGCTACCTGAATCACAGTGCATCAACAACAGATAAATGAGATATTAAAGATTAGGAAGAGTCCTGGACTGGGTGTTAAATTGTGGATTGATTAGCTCAATAACAGAGAAGGCTAACTCTTTCAGCAGAATTTCTAGAACTCAAAAACCAGAATATGACACAGAATATCACCTTTTATTGTGAATCTTTTTCAAAGACCTTCTGAATGTACCCTTTTCTCTATAACCTGGCACTTCCACTACCACTTACCAAGGGCTTATCTCGTATCTACACACACATCTGCCTACTTGCCTGTCCTCATCTCAACTTTGGTTTGCTTTTGATTGGTTTTATTATTTTTTTTTCTCAGTGTCTATGTTGGGCTCATTTGAGGGCATAGTTATTGTTTTAGGCATCATGCAATTTACTAAATGGTGTTCTGGTTATGGAAATGCTTGCAAAGAACCCTGGGGGAAAAAAGAATGAAGTAAGCACATATTGATCATGCTGTAGCTGCTGTTGTCTCATTTGATCAGTGGAGGGCTCAGTCTGAACTGGTCCATCTGATCTGTGATACATAAAGCTGGAGACATTTTTCTGGCTCCCTGGTGGTTTTAAAGGGTATGCAGTGGGGAAAACTGCTTTAAACAAAGTCTCATTTTAAAAGAATCCCGAGTACAGGATGGAATTCAAAGAATTTGGAGGGAGGGGAGGTGAAAGTGGTAGCAAACAGCTTTTAAAAGGCCCTGGGAATTTTAAGAGAACAAAGCACATAAGAAAAATAAAATATAAATGTCATGGAACCTGTTGTGAGATAGAGAGATAGGAAGCCACTTTAGCAAGCACATACTAAAGGCCTACTGTGTGCAGGACTTATAAAGAGGAGAAGCTAAACTGTTGAGGGGTGTCTAAGGAGAAAAACAGAATTCTTTAGGTCAGAAAGCAAGCCATAATTTTTTACACCAGCAAATAACTTAAGCTTTATGCAGATATTAAGTTCCAAAAGGAAATGCATATATGTCATTTAATCCAAATAGAAAAAAGAAAGGATCCTCCTGTGCAATTCATTTTAAAATTCTACATTAAAATGTTGATACTAACTTAAGTGATTAAAAGCAATTATTGAGAAAAATTTTCCTTTCAGAGAAAGGAAATGAAATGGCTCTCGGCTTTGCATTGGTTGAATTTGCTCTCTTACTTTCCCATTCCTTAATTCTTGCTAGTTTCTGCTTGCATTGAGCAATTCTGTGTTATCCTCCCCAACCCTATGTTCCTCCAGTGAGTAAGAGGCTAAAACTGGGAAATAAAACGGATGATATAGGCTGTGGTCTAGAGAAAGAATGGGAACTCAGAGATTTTGAATTTTGTGTGTGTGTACGTGTGTGTGTGTGTGTGTGTGTGTGTGTGTGTGGTGGATTGTGTTCTCAGACTTAGGGTGAGGGAACAAATGAAACCAGCACTACGTTTTCTTATATTTGGAAGCTGGAACAAACACACACACACATGAGCATTGGGTGGAGATTTGGGAAATGGGAGAATGCATGCAAAGAGTTGCACTCTGATATACTAAATACAACAGGTATTTTCTTATAACCACTTGGAAATATGGACTGGGGCAAATGTGAAATCCTAGAAGACGTAAACAGATTATTATAGCAAGAGCCAAAGTTGGGCACTGCTAAAACTTGGCCTCCTCTCTCTATAAGTACTCTGCTTATTCAGTTTTTATGGCACTATATGTAGCCTAAAATTTTATTAAGGTCATACTGTTTTCCCTGCACTAGGTTAGGTGCTATTCATTTGAGAGTTGACATCTTCGTTGCCCTAAGGGAATATCCAAATTAGTAGTAGAAACAGACATTAAATAAGGTGAGCCAAAACTACCTTGGATAGACTAAATACACTGGAAGCTAAGAAGGGTAATAACAGAGTGCTATAGAGTGGAACAATTTGAATCAAAAGAAGGGGTAAGAACCAACTGAGTGAAACTGGGAAGAGTGGAAGGGGGTGAGGGGTTTCCCAGGACAGTGGAATCTGGTCCAGGAAGTGACTGGAAAGGTAGAAAGGTAGTCAAGAATCACATGTGGCTTTTAATACAGGCTGTTAAGTCCAGATGGAGACTTGGGTTCCATGGAAAGCTACTGCAAGATTCTAAGTGTGTAGCTTGCTCTGTTCAAATCCACATTTGGCTCCATTCCCAGGTGTCTCCCCACTCACCTGGACCAGTAGACCTGTTCAAGTGGGCATATTGATTGTGTTGTCTCAAGATTCTTGTTGGAATGAGATCACAGAGACACAAAGCATAGTTCTTCAGTGTTATCATGCTATCCCTTAGCTTCTTTTCATGGCAAAAGTGGTTGAGTAGTTTGACATCATCTGAATTTTTTTTTGCAGTTTTTGCAATTGTGCCCCAAATCTGCTATCTGATGATTCCCAACCCTGATAGATGAGTGTTCAGGTCAGAACCCAGCCATGTTTTTCCACTAGCATCTTGATGGATGAACATGCCCGTGGTGTTTTTGACTACCATTCTAGGCTATAATCGAGAAAATCTGGGATAGTTATGTAAAAATCTGGGATAGTTATAGTTATCTGGCAAGACAGATTTCAGTCCCAAATATTAGCATTATTGTTATTTTTGCTAACATTTATTAGACACTTGCTGATTACTAGGAACCATGTTGTTTCCATCAGCTCACTGAGTTTTTATAAAGACTCTGTGTTATAGAAGAGGAATATTTTTCATATTAAGGAGATCACTGCATCTCAGAGGGGTTAAGCTACCATCCAAAGATCACACGGCTAATTAAGAGACACAGCAGGGACACAACCAAGCCAGTCAGTATAATTTGAGAACTTTAAAGGCTATGCCTGAATGCAAAAGAATTAAGCATTTATGAAAATACATTTACAGGGCTGGGGTTGTGGCTCAGCAGTAGAGTGCACGCCTTGCACATGCGAGGCCCTGGGTTCGATCCTCAGTACCACATAAAAATAAATGAGTGAAATAAAAAACTAGCCTCTCTCCTTAAAAAAAAAAAAGATAGAAAAGAAAATACATTTACAAATTCTGGTGTGCATAATTAGAAATACACTCACACTGAATATTTCAAGTTTCTGGGTGTCATTTATTAATTTCTTTTTGACATAAAATGATTTGATGGATTAAGACAGTAGTTCTCTTATGGGGTGAGATCCCTGCATTCTGTCTTGCAGATGAGTGACATACAGCATGAAGAATCAGTTTGGGAAGGGGGAAACAGCTCAGGTGGATTCACTTGTTCAAACACTCATTCCTAGAATCACGATTCATGGAATGATTTGTATATATCAGGAACTGTGCTGGACAGTAGTGATGTGGAAAACAATAGTAGCAAGTTTCTTGGGAGCAAAGGAGAGAACAGAAGAGTAGAAGCAAACGAAAGGTGTTTGTCTCTTCAAGGTAAAGTTAGGGAGACCTGAATTGTTTGTATCAGAGAGGGAGGTAACATGCTGCTGAACAGGTGTAAGGACAGTCAGTGTGATCAGGGAGAGATTCAAAAGCCTTAGGCTCCTGCCAGGAGCACCTGGTAACTTCTTTTTCCCCTTTTGGTTAACTTATGCTGATCCACTCAAAGCCAATGATGTCCTCAGAAAGCAACTTAGAGCAGTGCATGTTTGCAAGTGTGTGTGTGTGTGTGTTCACGCCTGTGTGTGGGGACTGCAGATTCAGAAGCTTGCCTTGCTTTTCAAGATGTGCTGCTGCCTGTGAACAGATGTGCTGGCTTTTGCTGTTCCAGTAACAGCTTTTTTCTGTTTGCAGCAGTCCTATGCACCAGCTCCCCACCCCATGGCTCCTCCCAGCCCCAGCACAAACAGCAGCAGCAACAACAGCAGCAGCAACAGCGGCGGGGAACAGTTGAGTAAAACCAACCTATACATCCGAGGCCTTCCGCCAGGCACCACGGACCAGGACCTCATCAAGCTGTGCCAACCGTAAGTGTCCTCCTTGCTCTCTGTGCTCCCAACTCCCACACTGCCTGTGTGGCAGCACTTGTGACTGTCCTCACATATCCATATCCATATCCATCTGCTGTCAGGAAGGAGGGCTCCTCTGTACAGTTCAGCTCATCTCAGGAAGCGGTTTTGTTGAATCCTGGTCATGCAGGTGGAAGTTCTCGAGCAGAAGGCATGGGAGTGTCGAATGCTGGCAGATTCACACATGGGGACCTGAAGGGTGAAGAGCAATGGCGGTTGTGCTCTCAGCCCAAGTAGCTAGTGGAGTTAATGATGAATCTCCTGAGATAAGCTCTTCTTCTTGAGAAGAGTTAGTGAAGGGACCTTAAAATCTCACAAGTGGGGCAGGGGATATAGCTCAGTTGATAGAGTACTTGTCTTGCATGCACAAGGCCCTGGGTTCAATCCCTAGCACCACCAAAAAAAAAAAAAAAAAAAAATCTTATAGGTATTGGGTTGCAAGATGGTTGTTTTCTGTGAGCCAAAGTTTTTCTGTCCAGGGCTTGGTAAATACAGGTTCTACTAGGCCAAGTCATTGGAGAACTGTCAGATTAATCCTCTAGTTTCTTTGAAAACATCTACTGCCCGGTCCAGAAGCTGTCTCCCACCAAGGCCAAGAACTACATGCTAGGAAGGGTGGAAGTGCTAAAATCTTCTTTCAAAATGTTTTTTTATTAACCTGTTATCTAGTTAACCATGAATAATTGAGTTAAAAATCATATACCTGTATTTTTAGATAATTGCCCAACTATTTTCAAAATCCTGTCAATGTAGGTATTTGTCATAGTGTGTCTTTTCTAGGTATTTTTAAATCTAGCAAAACTATTACTCAATGGTTCTTTTTGTCTTTTGCAATGTTTTACAAGAGGATACGTGTGTTGTAAATTTCCCAACCTCTAAAATATTGGAAGAGTAAAACAACAGGGAACATTTACTTGCCTTTGTTCTGGCTTTGAAGATTGGGAGTTCATATCAAAACAACAGAAAGTGGCAGATAAACCAAAACACAAATGTACAACCATATAATCAGTTAACAAAGCAGTAGGTGGATTTGTGTGAAGGCAGCCTGTTGCTGTTTACTGTCTTGATTTTTGAAAAAGGTAAGGTAGAACCTTGAAAGATAAATATTGATTTTCAAAGAAGCTGTTTTTAAAAAAACAAATGTTAAAAATGCTGAGTCTAAGGCATATGAATGCATGATAGATTTTGATCTACAACATATCGGTGTTGAGAGTTGGCAGGTAAATAACTCAAACTTTTTCTTATTGTTAGAAAAATCAAAACTGTTTTGAAAGGTAAGGTCTTTGAAAATGTGAAAGGTGGTGGGCTTTATGAGAGACATTTCAGATGAAGTATTCCCTTTAGTCAATGCTGATGTAAAAAGAGTAGTTATTATCGTTGATTTATACTCACATTTCATTCATTAAAAAAAAAAATTGTCAGTACTGAGAAAAGATTTTTCCCTCCATTTTCTATACCACCCATAGAGCTCATTGAAACAAATTTCCAGGCCTAAGATATTATGCTTTAAGGTCTGGAGCGTATTCCAAGAGTACATATTTCTATCAGGACTTCTGGTACGGTTGATGCTGGTGTTCTCTTGAGAAGCACTGGTCTCTATGGTCATAGAGAACCACTGATGTTTTCTATTGCATGAAGTTTTATTTCATTGGTGAAGACAGTTGAGGTGGAATCTTGTGTTCGAAACACCTGCTTAGTCATTTTGTGATCTTGAGGCAAACAAATCACTTCTTTGCTTTGAAGTCACAGTTTCCTCTTTAAGGAAATTTTGAATGGATTGAGTTTGCTTTATTTTTCTAGGATTTTTATCCTTTTTTACTCTGTAGTGTGCAGAAGCTGCCTGATAAGTGTACTAGGGGCAATTTTTAAATATTCAGGAATTTTGCAAGCTGTTTGTTACGTACTTGGTCGTCTGAAATAAGCAATGGTGGGAATATACATAACACAGAAATCAGCAAATCCTACAAATCAGAACTGTTAAATTTTTGTATTTTATTGGATAGCTGGTTTATGAACATACCACTGGTGTAGCATCATACCATAAGTCCCTGTCAATACCCATTTCTGCAATGAATAGGCAGATTTTTCTTTTATATGAAAGTCTTAACCTAAAAAGCTTGTGTTGGCAGGAAAAAGATGTGGGAATACAGAACCATTGTTATTTAGGATATAGGCCTTCTTAATGTTTCTTAGGTATGCTTGAAAATTTTAAGGAATGCTAGGTAAACAGAAGATAGTGATTACTTTTCATATTATTTGCTAACTAGAAAGATCTGGTCCGTGTTACTGTAATTGTAAAAATGTTTGTGAGTTCTCCAGTTACTCAAGTGATCTGGACCTGGAGTTTACTGCTTAGATCATTTTTCCTAGAAAATTGATGTGATGGGGCAGCATAATATTGTAAGAGTAAGTATGGACTGAGAGATTGAACTTCCAGTCATTGTGGATGGCATCAACTGGGTCTGTGGCATTAGACAAATGACTTGTGCCTTCTTAAGCTTCCTTCCCCCATATATAATAGAATGGATTTGAACTTAATAATCGTTTACTTTTTTTTTTTTAACCCACTCTAAAATTCTGATATGTGACTGAAGTCTTCATTATTTAGCATGAAACTTGCTCTGGATCACCTTTCATATCTTCTCCAATCCCCTTTAGAGTGTTGACAGTCCACACCTAAACCCATTCACCTGTTTGAGTCTGATTTTATGGATGAAGTTGCTTTTAGTAAGAGACCTGCATAAGATACTTGTAAAATTCTAGGCCTTCTTTTGCAGTGTTTGGTCTTTTCACAGTGTTCATTATTATTTTACATTAATCTTCTGAAGTTTAAAATCATTTTGCATTCCTGTTACTCATCCAACATTTCAAAATAATTTCACCTAAAACAAACAAACAAAAAAATCCCAGATAATATTTTTAGGTTTAAATAAACTTACCATTAGGATCCATTTTCCATGTTAATGACTATGAAATTATAAGCACTTTTAGAGTTAATGCTACTTTTATTATAGGAAATGCAATATTTACTAATATTCATGCTCATAAAATAATAGAAAACAGATACACAAAAAGGCATGGACATGTTGAATTTTATGGTATTAGTATGTAATATCCATATTAATGCTAATAAACAGCAAGGAAACTATATTAAAGAAAAAGATACTGCTTTGTTTATCAGTGTATAATACAAGAGAAAATCTTATTAAGGAATTATATTTACATTAATCATCAAAGCTCCTACATTCAGATTGCAAGCAAAATGAAAGGAAAGAAGACAAAATTTGAAAATAACAGATATGAAGAATGATTTTATTCTAGATAATTTGTTTAGGTATACCTATGTTTTTAAAAAATATGTTACATTGTATATATTGTAGGAAACAACACACTTAAAAATTTTTTATTATCTATCCTGAGAAAACTTTAGGAACTTTATTATGTTCTTAGTCAAGAAGTCTTTATAGAGCACCTTTGACATGCATGTGTTAAGATTTGGTGGTGGGTATATTTAGATGAAGGACTTGGCTTAGCAGAGTTTGTATTTTACTAGGGAAAATAAACATTAATTAAATAATCATATGATTTGATATAAAATTGCAACTATGCAAAAAATGAGACACATGTGATTAGACAGTTTAAAGCAAAGGATTAGACCTAGCTTCTCTGAGGAAGCCACAATCAACCTGAGATCAGAAGGATGAATAGGCATATCTAAGGAAGGGAAGAACAATCCAGGTAGAGGAAGCTTCATGTGTGCAGAATCAGTGGCTGGAGGGAGCATGGTAAAGGCAAGGGTCTAGAGTGGGAAGTGGAGTGCAGAACAAAATGAATTGGAGCATGGTGAAGGGCAAGATGATCTATCTAGATTTCATTAGGAGCTGTGTTTTATCCTGAGAGCAACGGAGAAAGCCAGTGGAGAAAGCTGTTGAATTGTCATAAAGAGGAAAAGGGCACAGTTAGAATTTTGTTCCAAAATGATAATTCCAGCTGTACCGTGAAGAGAAGGGACCCCATGAAATCAAGGAATAGAAGAGATGTAGCTGAAGAGTAAGCTGGAGGAAGAGTGATTTGCATTTAGGGATGAGTGTATGAGAATTCGTATGGTGATGGTAGAATTATTATGCATGGTAAAGGACACATTTCATTATATGCTTTGTTTTTTTCCATGAAAAAAGAAAAAAAAACTTGAGAGATATTAATCGAAAGAACTTCTAAAGAAACAGCAAAGTGGCACAATGTAGAACCCAAATCAATTGATCATCAGTTAATTTTGTTTTCCTTACCAGTCACAAATGGACCAGCAATATACTATCAGATGATATGGGCTGAATATATTCAGTGGCTGTAATATTAAGAGCACACAAGACAAATATAATAAAGACCAAAACTCCAGTCTCTGGGTGATCACATAAATATATTCCTAAGATGAATTATCAGTTAGAGACCAAGGGTAGAGACTTTGACCATATGTCCCCAATGCTTATCACAAGAAGAGCAGATGAAAGTGTGAGAAGATAGATTTGGTTTAATAGAGTGAGGGAGAGTACTGCAACATTTTGGACCAAATCAAATTGTGGTGGCACAAAAGATTTTTCATATATTAAATTATTATTTCCCCCTTCAAAGAAATTGATGACTTCTATTATATGATTGTGAACATGGCTTGAAACACATTTAAATTGCTCTTATAAGAATAAAACCAAATAGAAACCATAATGGATAGTATCTAAAATGGAAAAAAAAAACATTAATGTGTTTACATTTTCCACATCTACCATATCTTTTATCTAAGCATCTCTGTGGCTGATTCATCTTAATTAATACATGCTCTCAGAAAGCCCTGGCCAGTTGTCCCTCCACTTCCACCTGATTAATCTGGCCTTAATTAAAATAGTAGACGCAAAGAGAATGGTTCTTGTGATAAAGCAAAGGGGCTGCTTGAAGGACCCTGGATG